ATTTGATGAGGGAAGACTAAAAATTACTTGCCCACCTGGATTTCTGATGAATTAACGGGTTTGGAATTTGCTTTTAGACAAGGGTATCAAGTTCTTTCACGAATTCCCTTTGTTCTTCTTTAAAAGCCCTCAAATTAAAACTTGCTCAAGCAAATCAAATGGACCTAAAAAATTTTTAATAAACGTTACGTAGTCTGAATGATGTCAACTAATTAGTTCATTATATTTTTTTCATTTAGGTGACTGAAAAATATTGAAAATTCCTCTTAATTTTAACAGAAAAATTTTCCTCCTTTTGCGGAACTGCAGAATTCATTGCTTTTAGTACATTGAATTCCATTGAAGTTGCAAAACATGTTCTTACATCTTGTATAACTTGCCCAAAATATTACTGGATAGTGTCACCGGAACTATTAAAAACGCCAAAATAACGAAGGGCCAAACGTTTACCACCAACATTTTCCAGCTTTGAACATCAGTCTCGAAATGGATGAATCGAATCCAAACTGCGTTTAATTTAACGAGGGAAGACTAAAAATGACTTGCCTAGATGCACGTAGGCTTTCTACTTAACCAACCGGCTAGGAATTTGCTTTTAGACAAGGGTATCAAGTTTTCAACCGAATTTCCTTTGTTCTTCTTTAAAAGCCTCAAATTGAAACTTGTTCAAGCAAATTAAATGAACCGGTAAAGAATTCTTCAATAAACGTTAAGTAGTTTCTGAGTCAATGAGTCAACTATAGTTTATTAAAATTTTTGCTATTAAGAGGAGTCAATAATTTGAAAATTCCTGTTAATTTATCAAACCATTTTTCCCCTTTTGTGGAATAGGATTTGTTGCTTTTAGTACATTGAATTCCACTGAGGATGCAAAACTACAAGCCGGTCTTTATACATGTACCAAACTTCTTCGTTATAGTATTGCTAATTAAAATGATGAAAGGTTTGAGAAAAAGATTCTTTGTTTTGTACAGAAAAAGTCTAAAATTATGCGCTCTAAAAGTCTCTTTCTGTTTTGGATGGATGACTGATGTTTAGGTTTGGGTATGTTATTCTGCATCGGAAGCCTTCCTTCTTGAATATCAAAAAACCTTATTGATTGATGAACGAAACCTCGCATAGGAGCATCAAATCAGTAATTTGGCGAGCGAAATCATTTCTTGTTGAAGACTTTTGATCAAACAAACGGAACTCCTGATATTGTCGTTTCCAAAACCCAGGTATTTATTTTTATTAATTTTTAAACCAAAGGGCTGAGAAAGGATGAACACAAATCCTCTTGGATAGTTTTTGCATCCGAATTAATGACTATCAGTTGAAAGTCTACTTCGGCCACTTGTGAACATAAAAGAAACTTTAATCTGATATTTTCCTTAAATGCGAACAGACATCCTGTGTATACTTCTTACCGTTTCCTCGCAACATTTGACACAATAGACTTCCGTGAAATGTAGTATTGGAAGCGTTTTAAGATATCGAATTTGTTTAAAGTGGAAACCATGGCAAACAGTAAACACTAACATTTTATTTTCGCGGATGAATGCTTGTAGACATTAAGATTACATTTACTTCTTGTTTTAAAGAGATCGGTTTCCTTTAGTTAAAGGGTCACAGTCAGCTGGTGCACATGCGCATTAGATACCTTTTCTTAGCTGATTTGCATATCACACTTCATCACAAAGTCTCGTGCTGAGAAGCGCATCATTTTGAAAAATCTAAACAAATCTTGTCGAGTCGAAGTGTTTGCCATTCAAAATTATTGTAGTGATTATAGACCTAATGTCATATTAGAAAACTCATTTTCTTGATACCATGGAGAATTTACTGATGGACTTGTCCAGGGAATAAGCCAAACTTCAACGAACTGACCTCTGAAGTCGAAAAAGAATCATTTTAAAATCGTTTATTTCGGTATCCGGTCGTGTGAAAAATTATCTTAGCTGTTTCTACGTTTCACAGTGTTTGCACGGGGAGCAAATTGAGTTCAAATATTAGAGAATATGTCAATTTTAAAACGTAGCGATTCGACTGAACTGCAGTGTAGCGAAACAACTTTGTAGCGAAACGACTGGTAAGCTTTATTTCTGCTTTCAATCATATATTTTGCTTTTATAATCTCGTTTCTACAACTTCTCCACTATCTAAATTTAGGAACCAAACCCATGTCATTGCAAGAACGCTTGCTAGAGTCGTAGAAAACAAGGTTCTACTAGAGGTTGTCCTTGTCGAGGAGATAATCGACTGCGTAACGAAGCTTGTCTTCGTCTGAGCTCCAAACCAAGCTAAAAGCAGTCATGACGCGAAGTTCGAATCGTTTACGAAGATTCCCTCCGCACATAACCTTTCGTCAGGTTGAAAAAATGCGATTTTTCAAATATATATCATGGTGATTTGCTCTCCAATGTTTTTGATTGATTTCTCTCGTTATTTTAGTAAACGCAGGCGATTTCTTCCACCCGGCGCCTTCACGTTTCCCACTTCTTCTTTTCATGTTCCGTTGGAGGCGCGATCCATACTGTTTTTAACCAAATATGATAAGATAATATCATAGGATGCGCAAAAGCATACTCAGAAACAGGTTTTCAGTAAAAGATTGAAAATCCAATAAAACACTGGGAAGATTAAAGCGGATTTCTAGATGTATTTGACGCGTACTTTTGATTTCGGGTTGAGGTAGACGCTTTTCAAACTGACAAAACTAGTGTTCAGGTCAGCGCGGCCACAAAGGTGACTGTCTCCCTTTAATATTTGCACTCTAAATATACGGAAATTTGAGTAAGGAAAATTTAAAAGTGTTATGGGTATAGTTACTTTCACTACCCCTGGCTATTTCCACTTCTTTGTATCACTGAAGCGGACAGCCGACGGAATATTTGCGTTGTAATTTAAGGGAAACTCTGAGAAAAACATGATTAACAAGTGCGTGAGACTGCTCCAACTAGTCACGAAGTAAAATGTCTTTTCAGAGTTTAAATGGTAAATTTAAACTGTTAATACCCGATACTCATCTAATGAGATGTTATTACAATAACATGTTTTCCCATTTTTTATAATGAATAGATTCTTTTTTATTCTTTTTTGCAATTAAAAATTCAAGTTTCCGTTATTCACAAGAGTAGTTTGATTGATATTACATTCTTAAAATATGAAAATGAGCCGGGTATAAAAATCGAGTGCGGTTTGAATGAAATAAATTGGTGTCTAACAGACTGCGATAAAACTACATGGACATAAAACGAAAACGAAAAGCGAAAATAAGTTAACAAATCCCACATACCTCTTGCTCCAGAAGAACTGTTTACGAGCACGAACAAACGCCTGGTACATCATTCCACCCGAAACTCTTTCACCGGAATGTGAAAAAAAAAATCAAACTGGTAGTGCCCATGAGGTGTGAAAAAGAATATGCATAACGGATAAAGTAGAAAGTGACAAAAATGGCAGGAATTTTCTACTGCTTCTTAAATTAGCATTTTCTAGAGAAAAAGAATAATCACGATAGCAACCTTAACCCAAATAAACTTATTACATTTTACATTTTGACGTATTTACCGTTGTTGTAAAGTTTGTCGGGCTCCGATCTACTAAAAGAAGCACGTTTACCGTCCTTCCTGGCATTCTTTAACTTCTCCATTTGGAGCTTTCGCATCTCGTGGATTTCTTTCGGGAAGTCTTCATACATCTTGTATCAGTAAAACGCTCACTGAAGGCGCAAGCAAATCAACAAATTATTTAATTTTTTCGTAGCATACAAAACAAACAAAACCTTAGAGAACAGTTCCCACTGTACACATGTAATTAAGAGAGAATACAAGTTTAATTCAGGAGCAAACTAACAACGATAAAACCAAATGTTACGCCAGCGGTTATTGTCTGCCGCGCATGCGTATTACGCGCGTCTCCTCGTGGGCCTGCGATTTATTTCTCCGCCATCTTGTAGAGGCTTTGTTGTTCTTAGTAAAGTGTTTGTTGTTCGCTTACATCGTGTCGTCTCTCCTCATTACTGGCGTGGTGGCAGCGGTGGGATTTACCCTCGTCTCGTACTTAGAGACAGCCAGCCCATAACAGATCGTCGACCGATTTCCAAGCGAGGAACTAGCGAAACAGCTTAGTAGATAGCTGTATCAACAATACATAAAGAATCACAGCTAAGTTCACATTCTGCCTTTTCTCCATTCATTCAAGAGCACGAAATGAATCCAAGAGCACCAAAGCAGTGGTCCTTTACCAAACAGGAAACGATAACGTCCTTTGAAGCCTGGAGACAAAATCTTCAGTACATTCTTTCCCTCGACCGTAATTTCGCGGGTTTTCTCGCTGATGGCGTAACATGGTTGAAGAAATCCCCTGGAAGCCCTCGTCGTGGCCTCCAGGACGACCCCGAATCCGTACCTCAAGCTTCTCGTAGAACTGCACAACAAAAGTGTACTCATCTTGAATTAATGCCTGGACAAATTGCGAACTATTGTCCCGTAATTTCTCGTAACACCATTGTCAAGAACTCAACCTCCATGAACTCCATCTGGCATACGATTCGCCTTCACTTCGGTTTCCAGTCAACCGGCGCTCACTTTCTCGACTTCAATAACATCACACTTGCCTCTGCTGAGCGCCCCGAGGATCTTTATCAACGTCTGATGTCCTTTATCGAAGATAATTTGTTATTGGCAAATGGAAGTATCTCACACCATGGCGAGGTTCCCGGCGCCGACGACAAAATGTCTCCTACTCTCGAAAATCTTGTAGTCCTCACATGGTTGAAATTAGTCCACCCTGACCTCCCCAATTTGGTTAAGCAACGCTACGGTACCGAGCTCCGGTCCAAGTCTCTTGCATCCCTCAAATCTGAAATTTCTCAAGCATTGGATTCCCTCCTGGAAGAGATCAATAACAACGCCGATGCTAAAATCTTGCGTTCAACGGCATCGAAGCTCAGACAGCCGCATCTGAGGGGTCCTTATAACCGCTTCCAAAAGGCATGTACTAAACCACAAGTCAAGTCTTGTCCCTCAAGCAAGTTGTGTAAGCAGGCTGGACGTAATGACCGTCACTTCTTAAGTCAGTGCACTTACCTAACTGCTGAAGACCGCGCTTTCCTCGCCAAAGCACGCCTTACAAGTTGCCTCGATGACGAAGATGACCCCACCGATTCTGATTTCTTCTGTTCACCTGTTGTGGAGGACTTCGCTTCTTCTCCCCATTCCTTGGCCAGGGTTGTGTCTCGCCGCGTGAGCACAAAGCAGTCCCCCCATTTCAATGCCTTCTTTCATCACCACTCGCTTAAAGTCACCTTGGACGCTGGTGCCGAAAACAGCATGATCAAGGCCTCCGTCGCTCGTAGCATCGACGCTCCCATCGTAAAAACTTCCCAGCAGGCCCTACAAGCAGATGGAGTTACGCCTCTCGTTGTTGTTGGCGAGACCCACCTCACTCTTTCTAGAGCTGGCAAGTGCCTGACTCTTGATGCCCTCGTAGTGGAAGACTTAGACGATGTTTTAGCTGGAACCCCATTTATGATCACTAATGACATATTCGTTCGCCCAGCAAAGGGACAGGCTCCAAGGCTCCGAAATACTGGCCTACCATTCCGAGTTAAGTGCCAGTTCCCAGGCTTACGCCGTCCGTCGCACCCAGTCTTATGTGTTAGGCTAGTCCTCCCCTACAACAGTGGTCCTCCCTGGGGAATATCTTGAGCTGAGCCTACCACCTAACATAGATCCTGATTGTACCTTAGCCATAGAAGCCCGTACCGATGCACCATCCAACAAATACTCCAAAGGTTCACAACTTTGGCCTCAGCCCCAAATTGTGGACGCAGTAGCTAGTAGAGTTCGTTTAGTCAACGACACTGTTGAGCCAAGGACAGTCCGTCGCCACGGACATCTCTGCCAAGCTCGACACACCACAGCTGTGGTTCCCACTTCACCTGTCGGACCACACCCATTACCTTCCCACCCTGGTGGAAGCAACTCACCTTAGTCTGGGTTCTTCTCAGATGCTGTCGTAGTTGACCCTGACAACATCCTACCCGACACCTTCCGCAACGAGTTCCACGAAGTGCTCCAGACTCACGACGCAGTTTTTAATCCTGCAATTGTTGGTTACAACGGCATGGCCGGTCCTGTCCAAGCCTCTGTCAATATGGGACCTGTGCAGCCTCCACAACGCAAAGGCCGTGTTCCCCAATATTCTCGTGACAAGCTGGTTGAATTGGAGCAGAAATTTGACGAGTTGGAACAATGCCAGGTCTTCCGTCGTCCGGAGGACATCGGAGTTACCGTTAAATACCTCAACCCTTCATTCCTCGTTAAAAAACCCTCCGGCGGTTTTTGTCTCGTTACAGCCTTCACAGACGTGGGGCGCTGCAGCAAACCACAACCCTCCTTGATGCCCGACGTTGACTCCACTCTCCGCACCATTGCCCCATGGAAGTACATAATCAAGTCTGACCTCACCCGTGCCTTTTACCAGATACCTCTATCAAAGGCCTCCATGAAATACTGCGGCGTGGCCACTCCGTTTCGCGGCATCAGGGTATATACCAGGTCAGCCATGGGCATGCCCGGTTCAGAGACTGTCCTTGGCGACTTCCTCCAAGAGGGATGTGCTACAAAACTCGCCGACGACCTTTATTGTGGTGGCGACACCCCGCAGGAGCTTATCGCTAACTGGTCTCGTATATTTGACGCCCTTGCCCGGTGTAACCTCCGCCTTTCTGCTACTAAGACTGTCTTATGCCCCAAAACAACCACCATATTGGGTTGGATCTGGTCACAAGGCTCCTTATCAGCAAGCCCCCACTGCATTGCTGCACTCGCAACCTGTCCCCCTCGTGAGTCTGTGAAAGGTATGCGTTCCTTCATTGGTGCATACAAAGTCTTTAGCTGTGTCCTCCCTCACTGCGCGCAACTTGTGGACCCACTTCAATCATCCTTGGCCGATCTACAATCTCACGACCACGTTCAGTGGGATGACAACCTTTGTCAGAAATTCTCCGCAGCACAGGATGCCCTTAACACACACAAGTCCATCGTCCTTCCTCGTCCCTCTGACCAGGTTTGGATTGTTACTGATGGCTCAGTCACCCGACATGGTCTCAGAGCCACCTTGTACGTTACTCGCCAGGACCGCCTTCTCCTTACCGGCTTCTACAGCTCTAAACTACGCAAGCATCAGGTCACATGGTTACCATGCGAGGTGGAAGCGCTGTCTATAGCCGCTGCTGTTAAGCACTTCAGCCCCTTCATAATCCAATCCACGAAATGTGCCTGCGTTCTGGCAGATAGCCAGCCCTGCGTTCAAGCCTTGCAGAAACTTTGCCGAGGTGAATTTTCTGCCAGTCCACGCGTTACCTCCTTCTTGACCACGGTCAGTCGATACCAAGTTAGCCCCCAGCACCTCGCTGGCGCCGCCAATTTACCCTCCGACTTTGCCAGTCGCAATGCTCCTGACTGTACTGAACCGAACTGCCAAATTTGCTCTTTCGTGCACGAATCAGAGTCTTCAGTTGTACGTGGCATCTCCGCTCAAGACGTCCTTGATAACACCAAGCGCCTACCCTTCACCAACAGACCTACATGGTTCAGTGTTCAAAACGAGTGCCCCGATCTACGGGGTGTCTGTGCTCACTTGAAACAGGGCACCCGCCCTTCCAAGAAACTGACCAACATCCGAGACGTTAAGCGCGACCTTAACGTCACTTCCATTTCCAAGGATGGCCTGCTCATCGTTCAGCGTCAACAACCACTCTCCCGCCCTATTGGGTTTTTCGTCGTACCTCGTTCCGCACTTGATGGCCTACTTACTGCTATTCACCACAAGCTTGACCACCCCTCTAAGCACCAACTTCAAATGGTCATACAGCGTCACTTCTTTGCCCTGGATATGAGTGCTGCTATCGCTCGAGTATCAGACTCCTGCCACACTTGTGCCTCACTCAAGAAGTTCCCTACCTCCCTTACCAGCCAGTCATCAGAAGATCCTCCCGAAGTCGTAGGCGTGTCATTTGCAGCCGATATCATTAGACGCTATCGCCAATTCATCTTACTTTTGAGAAAGTACCACCTCTTACACTACATTGTGCCTCGTACCCGACGAGAAGAGTGATACCCTTCGTGATGCCCTTGCCCAGTTGGTAGTGGGTCTACACCCCCTCGATGGTCCCCCAGCTGGGATTCGTGTCGACCCTGCACCCGGATTCGTCTCGCTGAAAAACATCAACGCCGTACAACATCTTGGCATCTCCGTCGAAGTTGGTCGCATTAAAAACACCAACAAAAATCCCGTTGCCGAACGAGCCGTACTGGAGCTTGAAGAAGAGCTTTTACGCCAGGAGTCTGGCGGAGGTCCAGTTACTGAACTCAGTCTTGCCATTGCCACTACCCGGCTCAACTCGTGACTCCGCAGCCGAGTCCTGTCCTCATTGGAGCTTTGGACACAACGGAACCAGTTCTCCAACGAGCAGATCCCTATCAATGGCTTACAACACATTTTAGTGAAACAAAAAGCCCGTCAAGCCAACGATCCTTTCAGCGAAGCGGCCAAAGGCGGTTATCGGCCACAAGCTTCCGTCCCCCCCCCCCCGCTTGCAAGTTAGAGACTTCGTTTACGTAAAGTCTGACCGAGACAAGTCACGCGCCCGTGACCGCTATATCATTGTTAGCATCGATGGGGAATGGTGCTTCATTAAGAAGTTCTCTGGCTCATAACTCAGGGCTACATCTTACAAGGTGAAGCTAGCCGAGTGCTACGCTGCACCACACACCCTTTCAACTCCATCCTACCAGTCTGTTGTCCCTCTTGACGACGACGAATGTGAGGAGATTGCTGAACAGCCCCAGCCCTGCAAGCAGCCCTCTGCTCCACCGGATCTTTTGCGCCCGCCTAGCCCAGACCCTTCAGCCTCCACCCCGCACTACACCAAACAGCAAGATGACACCGCCTCCTCTGCTACTGATCCCATTACTATGCCAGTTCCATCCCAACCAAGACCCCAGCGGGCCCATCGACCTCCAGCATACTTACAGGAGTACATTTTCGACTAGTGTTTTAGGCTACAGTTTCAGAAATAGTTCGTTTAACTATGTGCTGCGGAGAACAGTTACGATCTGTTACAACCTTTTTGTTAAGTTTCTTTTACTTTGTTCACGTTAGTTTTCTATTTACACAGAAGAAGAAGTTGCGCCAGCGGTTATTGTCGGCCGCGCATGCGTATTATGCGCGTCTCCTCTTGGGCCTGCGATTTATTACTCCGCCATCTTGTAGAGGCTTTGTTGTTCTTAGTAAAGCGTTTGTTGTTCGCTTACATCGTGTCGTCCTTCCTCATTACTGGCGTGGTGGCAGCGGTGGGATTTACCCTCGTCTCGTACTTAGAGACAGCCAGCCCATAACTGGCGTTAGGCATCAATTAATTATTCACTTGCGCTGTGAAGCTTCCTACCGCTTGGAAATCACACGAACATAGATCGATAAAAATAGCAAACGGTGGATCCAAAGAAGGACCTTGCGGAGTAGTTTCTTCCTGCTCCTTCCTCCCATCAAAAGGACACTTTCATGTAATATATCAAACACGAGACATAGTGTTTCATCACATATCAAACACCGAGAAGAGAGTTGAAAATACGACGCGTAGCGGAGTATTTTTGACGAACTTCGAGGTTTTTGATATTGTGATGAAACACTCTGACGAGTGTTTGATATAACTTCTCAAACAAACTGATTTTTTAAGGAGAAATTAAAGGGGAAGTATCACGAAAATATGATGTCATTTCAAAACCCAAAAATGTTTGTCTGACAACAGAAACAAAAAATAATTTGTCTTGTTTTGTTATAAATTATCACCCCAGTGCGATAAAACTGTCGATTAGTGCCTCTGGCCAGAGATAGAGTAGGCCGATATGGATTGAAACTTGAAAAATATTAGGCTAATGTTTTTCAAGTTTTCGTATTTTTGTTTCCAAAATGCGCTAGAACAGAGTACGAGTTGTTCCTGTCAAGAATTGAGTTGATTTCTCTCCTCTCGTTGTTCTAGAATTATTTTGTAGCAAAGTGAAGGTGTTATTTCACCATTTTTAACAAAAGAGGTCAAAAACACCATGAGACTTCCCCTTTAAAGTGCCTATAACCCCTACCCAATTCCTTTCATTCTCAAAAGTAGACGTAGAAAGTAAGCCAAAACAAGCAAAATAATGAGATTTGAAGTTATTCTCGATTTTTAAAACGCGATCGAAATCTCAATTTCCGAAGTTAAAACCGCGCCATTAGAGGACTGGCACTAGTGAGTTGTGACGTCGACCCGGTATCTCGATAACAAGCACACAACAAAACAGTAGTGAGTCGGAGTGATTTCTACGCGAGCTGTTTGGGTTTCTGGCCGATTTTTTAGCCCAATAACCAAACACTGACACCGAATCCGAGCAAAGATACAACTCAGATAATTCAGAATTTAACTACAACCCTGGCTACGTGATTGACGCGACGATCAAGCACGTAAAATAGGAATGAAAGGCCTACACAACTCCTACTCGCATGTTTAGCGCTTCTATCTCAGTCTTTTGATCAATTTAGCTTCTTGTATGTTTACAGCGGGTTGGCATGACGATTTAAAGGATTTGTATGATAATCATAGAACAAAACCATGTGCTTAACTGTAGCATGTTTTGTATTTTGATCTCAAAGGACATTTTGGGTTTAGAGTTCTGCGGTTAGCGCCTGTTTATTTCACCTCTTGTTGTTTCTGTTTAGCCGCTGTCGTTCTTATGCCATTTCATTTTACTAGTATTTAGATCTAGTTTGGCTCGTTTCAGTTTGCGGTCCGGTGACAGTACAGCTTCTAGTTAGGATTGAACCGTGTGATAATCTTTAACCTCCGAAAGCGACCGCTATTGTTGTTATCTTTGTTAGGATTTAACTGCGTAATTACTGTACATCAGTTTATCTTACAGTTTTTGTATTGCAGGGCCCGTCCATTTGTTTTTGTGGCAAGATGTGGTGTCTCTGATCGTTGCTATTTGGTTTTTGATCCTTTCTCTAGCACTGTAGTTTCCTTCGAGAGCTATGCAATGCGTGAAATTGAGGGCTTAAGTTTTTTTAGTTACGGCTTCGTTTTTGCATGACCCTTTGCATCGCCTCGCTTCGCTCCGCTCTGAGGTTTGTGTTGGGGGAGCTTGCTATTTTTTAAATATTTGAAATCTTTCGGTTTTAAGAATATTTTACTGGGGCCCGAGGGAAGTGTAAATAAGCAAGACTTTTCCTATGAACAAGAGGCTTGCCTTTTGTCAACGAAACCACCACAGCAAATTTTACTTCGCGGCAACATGCGGACCGCTGAGGAGACATTTTTCGTGGCGTAAACTGATAAGCTTGTTCAGTTGATATTTTTACTGTTTTTAAATTGTTTTTTAGCTGAAATTGGTCTGGTAGTAAGAGAAGTAAAACCGTACAACGTTTGGAAAGCCGTTGCGTGTGTTATTTTTCGAAATATCTCGATTTCCAGGTAAGAAAAGCCGACCTTTTGAGCAGTATTTTGAGCAGTATATCAATCGACCGAGATGTTCGATTGACTCTTTACCTCGTTCTTCACAGACAAATTCAAGACTGAAGCTTTTTTAAAAAGAATGATCTGTTCTTCTTGGAAAGGCTACTCCCAAATTTATACACGTGGAATAGAGAAAGAAAAAAAAACTAGCTTTATCATGTCACTGTGGCCCTTCATCCGCTCGCCAACAGACAGCAGTCTCAGAAGTAAGAGACTCCATTCGCCTCTTCGCATTCTTGTGAGTCTAGACCAATTATAAATTAAAATAAGTTTACTATTTCAGTAGGTTTGCTTTGGCTGCACCTATAAGATTACATAAAAAAATGGAAACATTTCTTACCGCTCGTTCGCGGCGATGTTCGGCAGTAGTTTAAATCAGTACACCTGGACTTGTGGTCACCGCTTTAGCATGGGCAGTTGGCGTCACATTAATACCGATATCATCTCGTTTCAGTCTTGAGAGGATTGGCTTGTTACTCACTTTATCAATAAATCAGAATCGACGCATGAAGTCGTCGTTCGTGAAGTGCTTGGAGCATATTGACGATTTTCCGGGTTAGCCCGCTTTTGTTTCATGAAATCGATCTATTTCTTTCTGCATTTCCTTGCTTCATCATTATCGAACAGTATAGCGTGCAGAACTATACCCTTCTACATAACTGAGAAGGCAGCATATTCACCTACCACATACCTTCCTGGCACATTCCAAGTTCAGTACAGAGAATGTAGTGACAAATGAGCAAATGCTCTGTGGCTGAGATACCGGGTCGACGTCACAAGCTTGTTAGAACCCAGTCTCTCAACTGCTCCTTTTTGTATTCAATATGACGGAAAACGGCCTATTTTGGGCGATTTTATCGTCTGATAAAAACAAAACGAAACATGGAATACGATTTATTTCTTCGCAAAGCGTCTTAGACATGCATAAATTTTTGAAATTCATTAAAACTGTGTAAGGGTGATAGGCACTTTAAGGATGTAAAAACGAGGAGTTTTCATCAGATGTCCAAACACATCACGGTGCATGATTTCCTTTGCCTTTGGCTTTTGAATTATTAATGAGTTTGAGAAGCTCGGTTATCGTCGTTGAAAAAACTTGGACACGATGAACGATTTCAGTTTCTCAACCAAACAAAATAAAATCAATTCGATCCGCAAGTCTTTAGCTTTTGACGCAAATAATCTTTTGATGTTTCTTGTAAGAGACACGAAAATTAACCTTTAGGAATTTCCTTCCTAGCTGCAGCACTTAATTTCCATGTATTTGTGGTATAAACAACCCGGCTTAAAGTGTCGAACTTCCAAAGAACCTCAAAGACCTCAAAGTTCTTGTTGTTTTTCTGGACACAAAATGCAGAAACCAACAAAATGTAAAACTGTCGTGCTCAGCCAATCAAGAGCGAGTATTTTCGCCGCTCGGCCAATCAGAAGTAAGTAATTTTGCCCTCGGTCAAAGGAAAATTACGAAAACCTGCCCTCTGTCACAACAAATCAGCGTTCAGTATTTTTGTCATCTGTATGACATTGTTATTGTTGATGAGCAGTTAGCTGCATAGCATTAAAAATATATATAACTCCAGAACGGATGAGGAACTCGTAAGGTTTTTACGTTCACACAATAAGCAGACCTCTATAAATGCTTATTAAAAACAGGAATTGTGGAGCTCCGCTTTTAGGCTTGGCTAAATATATATATCTTATCCTGAACAGAGTTCAGAAGACAATTTTCAAGTGAAATAGTCTGATGAAGGCACGAAAATATAGTCTAGCGGACTCAAACTCACAGCTCCTTCATTACTTAAATTTTGAAGAATTGGATAAACTGTAGGCATTGTTTGAAAACAGAAGTTCGATTTTTGATCTGACTTAATTTCCCCTAACAATATCACTACAAGATAAAACGTGCAGGTCATAAGAAGACATGAGCTGATCACTTAAGATAACATGTGTTGGCATTGAAATAAAGTCTCCTGAATAGCAACATAGAAAACATACGTAGAGCAGTGAGAATATATACGCTGATAGTGAGGCCGTAAAAATCTAGTGTTGAAGAACTAAAT